GTATGTATTGCATTTGATCTTGTTACAAAATTATCAATTTTTACGTCAGCATTTTAAATTTGGTAAATTAATAAGTTTGGATATAGGGTATAACATCCCAGATTAGGCTACTATTTGTGAATGGCAGGGTATCACATTCATTCTAACGTTCTAAGATGTGCTTGGCTCGTAAAAAAAATTTGAGCTGTGCTCGATCTTTGGCTCATCTTAAAACGAGCTCGTGGTACGCCTGCTTGAGTCGAGCCAGCGAACGGCTTGATCTTAAAACGAGCTCGTGGTACGCCTGCTTGAGTCGAGCCAGCGAACGGCTTGACTTATTTATCACCCCTATAATCTTGAAACTAACCAATTGGTTATTCACATAATGAATTATGATTACAAATAATAGTAATTAATTTTGAGTAGATTTCACATCTAATCCCCTTGCCAAATTTCCTGATAAGCATCAAAAGTTGGCAAGTCTTTTATCTTTCCAGGCTATATTCGCTTTAAAAACAAGTTAATTTTTGGGTTATTAGTTGAGTTGTCAAAACACACTCCAAATTACGTTGAAAATAAGATTTTGTCTTCAATATTTTATTACAAATTTTATCTTCTTAATAAATTGCAGCAAGATTACAAAAAGTGTAATAAGGATGCAATCTCAAAGTGACTTTTAAAATAATGAAAACACATCTGGCGATGTTCTTACATTTCTTTTACTTCAAAAATATCAATAGGTGTGGCAATAAATCGATAATAACTAGCAAGGAAGAATTCATACAACTAAACAGAATTTTATTTTTTATTTTTTATTTTTTTATTTTTTATTTTTTTATTTTTTATTTTTTGTTGTTATTAACGAGGGACAAATGTGAATAACGGAGATTATTATCAGAAAATTTAAATAAATCAAACATTTCAACCCAAGAATCATGTATGGTAAGAGTAAATTCGATAAAAATACAAAAATTATAAGAATATAAGTTCAAATCTTATTCGTTGTACTAACAAATTCTATTTAACCCCCGTAACGGGAAATGGCTTATAAAGACTCTTATTATACCAAATATTTCTGCGAGTTTTTACGTGCCAAGATTCTACTTCTTGGGTGCAAGCTTGGACCTGATTTTCTCAACTTCCTTGGTACCAACTTGGAATGCCTTTGTCAAAACATTGTCCGGCACAGGTGGCTTTGCAGTAAACAAGGTGACGGCGATCGACTGAGTTCCGGGCAGTTGGCTATTGAATGCAGAGAGCACGGAGGCCGGAACTTTGCCATTGTTCAACTGGAAATGGACTAAGCCTCTAGGGAATGTGTAAATTTCACCTTTCTTGATAGACTTAGGAATTAGGACATTGGCTGTGGTTATGAAGCCCACATCTAGTTCGCCTTCGAGTACGTAAATCATCTCGGTGGCACGTGGGTGGGTATGGGGCGGGTTTACGCCACCGGGTGCAAAGTCGATGCGTGCGAGGGACAATCCTAGAGTGTTTAGGCCCGGGATTTTCTCGACATTAGCGAGGGTAACGATCGCTCCCGTGGTGGTGTTGGTGGCGCCAGGCTTGGCTAGGCCAGCAAAAAAGAAGTCCTCGCCTGTCACATTGGACTTGCAAGCAAATCCATTCACTTTTACACCTGTTTTACACATCCAGATATAGAATTAAATCAAGAATCACTTTATCTAAAATCTTAAACATTTAAAAAAAAAAAAAATCATTTATACAAAAACGCAGACATTACAATTTTCATTAAATGAACAAGGACATACTTGATTCTTGTATGCTATTCTACTGTATTTAACCATCTCATCTAACATCTCGTGCACACAATAGGAAAAGTAGAAGCCTATTAAAGTTGAGTAGGTGTAGAATTTAGTGGCACAACTTCCTGCATGCAAGATTTTTAATTTCTGATTCATTACTGGCTTGGGATAGGCTAAAAATCTGAGGTCAAAATCCATAATTAACTTTAACCACACAAACCATGGATCGACCCTCAACTTTTATGAACTTTTCGATCACACATTTCATCGATATTTAGCAAAATCCGCTAAAACATTTTAATAAAATCTTTGTCAAACAAAGAGAGAGAGAGAGAGAGGATACGAGAAGTGAGATCAGCAACACAAATATCTTGAAGCATATCTGGATCAGCTGAAACTCTGGTAAACATCATAACTGTAGCCGCCACCATTACTACAAAACCAGCCATTTTAGCCATGTGTGGGTAAACTAAAAGGGAATAGTAGGCAGAGAATGAGAGGAAAAGAGGAGAGGAGGGGTTTGGTTAGTACAAGGGAACGACAAAAGAGTGTAAATTATTTATAATGGTGATCCGTGGCATGAAAAATGGCTTGTTAAAGGCAGATATGAGGAGGGTAGAGGGTCATAAAATGGGTCCATTTTCTGGGCCAGTCGTGCCGTGGACGGGACCGGAACCAGTCAATTTTATATAATTCATGAGTAAGACTTGTGTTTCGACTTCCAATGATCTATAACTATAAGTTGGCATATTCTTTTACTTCAACCAACTTTTGACTTCTGTAAAAGCTTTTGCTTGAGAAAAAAATAAACCTCTGTTTGTCTAGGAGCTCTATTTCACCAAAAAAATGATGTTTTGTGCTGTCACGTGGGTCCCCTTTTAATTTTTTAATGCAATATCAAACAGATCGTAATCGCCCTTGTTTGATCCCCGGGGAAAAATGAATTTTTGAATAGTATATTGATAATAAATTTATGGTTAACAAATAAGAAAAAAAATTTTGAATTTATTTGTAATATTATTTTATTGAAAAATGTCTGGTTGAAATGATTTTAAATCACTGTTTAATAAATTATTATTATTATTATTATTATTATTATTATATCTTTTTAAGAATGGGGCTCAATCAAACAAGGGCAAATCACTTTTTGGATTTTACTATGAATGCCTATTTTACCCGTTTATGTTAAATGGGACAATTGATTCCGTAACTTTTTTTTTTTTTATTGACTGATTTAAAGGGCAGCAATGACACTTTACATGAACTTAATGAATTCAACCATTTTTTTTTATTGTGCATTCTGGGAACAGCACATAAATTATGGAATAATAGAATTTAGCATGCACATTGATTTCTATCAAAATTTGATATAATTAGGAGTGGAAGCAGTCTGATTTCGTTTAGTTATGAAGGGAATCGAATCGAATACTAATGAAAATCTTAATAATTGAATCATTGGTACCAAATCATTTAGTTCCAATTTGATCCGATCTGTTTCTTAATATAAATTATATTAAAAAATTATAAAAATAAAACATTAAACTAATTGTCGCTTGAGAATAAACAAAAATAGAGTTTGAATCACTTGTCATTCTTTTAATTTAACAATACAAAAAATCAATTAAAAAGGCAACAAACAAAAATTCAAGATAAACTCGTAAAGATGGAAGAAAGGATAAACTATTAAACATAATATAAACTATAAAAACTCGAACAAAAATTAATTCTTAGAAAATTCATCTAACAATTTGTACACGTAGTTATATTTAGTGTTTGTTTGGAAGGGATTTTGAGAATTGATTTTTTTGACCAATAGAGATAAAGTAAGTCTTACCTGTGAGAAAAGAATTCAAAAATGACGTCTGAAATAGTGAAATAACAGTTAGAATTTTGATCTTAATTGGCTTAAAATTTGTACTAAAAATGCTCTTAGTAATTTTGAAGGATCTTGATTTTTTATGGTTGCTTACTTTGGAAACAATGAGAAATTTGAATTCTTATAAAATATTAAACTAAGATATA